ACGCACACGCACGCACACACGCACACGCACGCACACGCGCACACGCACGCACACGCACACACACACACACACACACGCACGCACGCACGCACGCACACACACACACACACACACACACGCAGACATGCTGCTGGCGAAAATGAACGGCAGTGGGAATTTGAGGGCAAGGTCTGCGCCACTGGTGCCGTGAGTCATCTTGCAAGGTTGCGAATGCTGGTGAATGTCGAGTCTTGTGTCTTCCCAGTCTTGTATGGCAAGAGCTCTTGATTGGCCAGGATCGACCACCAGCCCGACTACAAACGCCTGCTGAAGCTTGGGATGCATACGTGAGAGACGGTTTGTCTTCGAGTGGAACGAGTGCAATACCGTCATCAAGTGTTTGCTGTCCAGCCGCTACACACCCTAGCTGCTGAGGAAGAACCACTTGGAAGAGCGGATGAGAGTTGTGCAGGCTGGGAAGTCAGGGATGCTCGGCTACAGTGAGATCGGGAGATGCTCTCGAAGCCGTAGCGGCATGACGGGCGATGTCAGATGTCAGAGGTGTTGCAAACGAAGGCCTACGTTTGTGCCCGGGAAGGTCGGAGGCAGGAGAACCCATCCACTGTAGCATCCGATCCGAGGCCTGAGCCGCATGTGGCAGATATCACTTTGGTGCGTGACTACGGTGGGAGGACGGCCCGTGCCAAGATGCCAAGTAGCCGCAACCGTACGTGTCATGAGATGATGTGGCAATATCAGTAGTTGGTTGGAATGCTGAGTGGTAAGAACAGCTCGTAGCATTCGTTATAGTAGCAGTTTGAAGACCACAAAGAGCAATCATAAGAGCAATACGCAGCTGTGACCTTCGCATAACCTTGTAGTCAAGCTTGCGTTGGAAGCATCTGGACTTCCCGAGTGTGAGCGTCAAAAAAACACAGCTGTCGCTTGTACTTGGACGACTAGGACACTGGCGGCTGTGAATTCCAGTCGTTCTAGCTTTGGCAGCCATGAGGGATAGGTAAAGAATTAGCATTCCAACGGGGCGAAGCTACCGATACTCGGGCCCCTTGTTGCCCAAATGCCTTCATTTGACAATCTGTTCTTTTTGCGCCGAGCTTCCTGCAGGCTCGAAAGTTTGAAGGCTCGCGGCCACATGTTGCAGAGCATCGACGTTGCGCTCCTCAGTTGCTAATGCAGCTAAAGGGTGGACTGCGCAGCCTTGCAGACACAGAGCCGAGGAAAGCTTACGGAAAAGAAAAGGCGATCTTCAAGGCTGAGGGAAGACTGGCTCCTCCGTCGCACTTGTAGCAGGGCCCTTTTTGGGAACCACGAAGCCGGTACTGTGGGCGTCGCTGTCACACACGAGCATCATGGTCAGCTCAGAGTATGCTACACAGCAATGTTACGACATCGCATGGGCATTCTGCCCCAGTCGTCAGGAATCTGGAACTAACGGTGAATAATGTTTGGTTTGTATTAAGTAACACCCCCCCTCCCCGGAGGTTGTTGTGCCGAGGGTTTCTTGAGGTGGTCGTTTGTTTTTTGGGGGGGTGGCATTCAAATACGTCTGGCCGGGTCCGGGGTGTGTAGTAATAGTAAATATTGGTAGTTTTAGTAGTTGGAGTAGGAGTCACGCACGGGCCTCAAGAATAGCTGCTGCAGTTCCTGGGATCCAAAGTTGCTGGCTTCATGCCAAAGCCTGCAGCTCTCCAATACCAAAGCCTCTGGCTTGAGGCCCAGCTGCATCTTGCTTTCTAAATAGCCTTCTGAAGAAAGCCTTGCTTCCAGGACACCCCCTCCCGGCGGGAGTATATTATCACGAAAGCTCCTCGTGAGGGAGCTTCGTTCATTACCTCACAGAGTGAGCTTGGGGGTTGTCGGGGGGGGGGGTGGGGGGGATTGGTGGGCGTTTTCGGCTCCATTGGAGCGAGATCTTCAAGCACAGTTAGCAAGACTGCACCTGCCGTCCGGCCTGTGCCCGCTAACTATTAAGCAGAAAAAAGGGCGCACCGCAAACTTTTATTCCCCCATGGGCGTGGTTGGCGGGGAAAATCGACACAAAACTACACGTTCTGTCCAAGTACTGTACTGTGCCACTTCGGGCACCCGGCTTGAGCGCACACACAGCTGCAAAAGTGCTGCAATTCTCAACAACGTGTTGTGCGGTCGCAACACGCAGTCTCTCTAATGACAAAGCAACTCAAATGACAAACAACAACGCACGCTAACACAGACACATGCACACATACGCCAGTCCTGCTGCACACAGGGAGCTAAAGCACCGTGCTAGATGATCCCACTTTGATGCACTCGTTCGTGCACCCCGTTGGACAAAACACCGTTGCCAAAGGGGCCTGTTTTGGGCCAGATTTCGGTCCTTTTGGGTAAGTGGCTTTTTAGACGTCCAAAGGAAACCCAGGCCTCCTCTGATGCTAGGGTGGAGTGAAAAGTCTTTGGAACTGCACTCTGCGAGCTGGTAGTTCAGTGAGATGTCTGAGGAACTGCACTCTGCCAGCCGGTTAAGGATCTAGGCTTCTCTTTCTTTTTCTCTAGAATAATAAGCTTTTTCTTCAAACCAGGCCCTAGAATTCTGGGGATTTGGAACCCGGAATATTTTGATTATCACCCCTTTATAAATATCACCGGAATGCCAACATCAGTTGTTTTGCCAGATCTGGGCTGATCTGGGTACTCAAATCTAAAGTAGTCTTCCGCCGGGAACGTCTGGGCCAGGGAATATTTTAATTGTCATCCTGTTTATTCGTGTCACTCCAACATTAGTGCGACTAGCATGTAAGGAACATGACCTGGTTCCTCCGCTCTGGTGTCTTTCGATACTTCTGATTGAGTTGATCTTCCTGAACGCTGAACAAGACGGCCCTGTGTTGTGATGAAGATACGATATGTTGAGCATGCCCGCATCCAAGGCAAAGCTGGACAAGCGATTGGAGGCTCAGTTGGAACCTGACAACCAGCCACTTGACGATTACTCTTCTTGCTCTAGATAGTGTTCTGGATTGATGCAGAATGTCCCTGTCCGTAGCTACGGTCCGAGAATTGCTGGGAAGCACACCTGACAGTGCCATGATGCAGTGAGCAAAAGGCTTCCGGTTCTCCGTGCCTATGTGATCCTCAATCGGACAGCAGACAAGCACGGCCTGATGTACGACTACCGTTCCGTGGTGCCAAGAGTAGACGGGCGAGAAGGTCGTGCATTTCTTTGTTTTTCTCTATACTCTACCAATTTCGTGCAGGGCTGGGGTGATCTGGGCTTGTCTGTGCGGGTTCAATCATCACTGTATCGTGCAGATACTGGCACCAGACCGAGGTCTAGCTAACTTCGCTCTGTTTCGCTGCTGCCAGTCAAGTTCGAAACGATTTTTCGGTGCGGGACTTGGTCAACCAGTGGAAACTGGATCCCTGGCATCTTCCTACATGCATTTCTGGGTCCTGTGCACCCTATACCCTTATCACAGACGTTTTTGCCGCCCCAAACTGGCAGGAGCGGCGTTGCGAGTTCGGGAAGCGCCCCAGCCTTCGGATCTCCTTTGGGAGAACCAGGATACGCCCTGGTGGAGTCGACTTCTGAGGCGGATGAGACCAAGAGAGACCGGAAGAGTGGTGACGTCACATCTGAACAGTGTTTCCGGCTTTTCTCTTTGCATCTGATCTGGCAGGCAGCTTTGCATGTTCCTTGGCAGAATGCTGAAGTAACTGCGGATGGGATCTTCCTTGACGTGGCGCAGCGACAGCACATTCGCTGCGGATCTTGGTGCAAAGGCTTTCCAGGAAAGTGCCGGGGAACCAGATTGAATACTTCAGATCCCGGCTAGTGTTGGCATTCAGGTTTGTCACTTTCATCATCATCTTGGCGATTTCGCTGGTCACACACTCAGTTCCTTCACGCTCTGAACTGGCTTTGCTTTCACTTGTTCATCGAAAGCCGATCCCTCTGCTTCCCAACGGCAGGCGTTAATCTATGTGACAACTGTGTACGGCAAAAGAGAAGCCGGCGTACAGTTGAGCAGCCTTTCAGCATCACAGGTCGCGGTCTGCATTTTTGGACGGTTGCTGGGGTGTACAGGGGCTCGGTGATGGTCTCAGGGTGCCGACCATGGTTTCGCTAGAATGCTTCCATGCCATCCACACCAGGCTACATCGGCAACGAGATGTGTGATCCTGAAACGAACTACTCCGGTGCGCCCGCAGATGACTATATTTGCATTGCTGCTTGGCTGCCTTGGCTGAAGAAGCCATTGTAGAGAGTGCTCCGAGGGACATCATGCAGCAGTCTGGTCATGTGGGTGTGGCATCATCCCGCGCAGCAGAAAGAGGGTGACTAAGACTGAACGCCGTTGCTGTCTCGCTGCTTCCCGGTCTGCGGCTGGGTGCTAAGGTGAGCACTGCGGCCAACTGGACCAAGGACTTTGCCGAGGCAGAGGGCGGCAACATTCTGAACTGCTGGTGCGAATCTCAAGGCTATGTGCCTTGGATGCTTTGGCAAACCCGCGACAGGCCTTCGCCTCGTCTGCATTCTGCGAGCGCGAGAGTAAACGCGAAGCCGTCAACTCAAAAAGCCATACAACCCCAACAGCCTAAACTCTAATTGGGTCCCACGCACCGCTTGATCACCGTGGGAGAGCAAGGGCATGAACCTCCTGAGGAAGCCAGGAGCTTTGACAAGCTTGCATGGAAAGAATGGGATAGCAGCACTACGGCGCCCAAATTGCGTAGACTTGCATTACTCCGTGACATTGACTGAATTCTGTGCATTCTCCCCTTTCTCGACACACCCGTATATGATTCGAGCTTGATTCGTACTCTAGAAAGCAATATCTGAGGATCAACCTCAGTTATAGTTATAGGCCGTTTTCGCCTCCAACGCTTGGCATGTCCGAGAGTGAGCGCTCGGAAATCCTAAAGCCAGAGTTGCAAACCCAAGGCCCTACTAGCAACAGTGAGCGCTTTCATTCAATAATTCTATCGTCCATATCCGGCCCTTCTCGCCGAAAGCAAAGAGCGAGGCGAAGTTGGTGGAGGATACCTCCCTCGTCACCACCTGTACGCCTTGGTTCCTGAAGACAGCGCGGGGGATCGGAGCCTTGGCGTTCGGTCATGGGCTGCAGGCCCTAGGCAACAAAAACATGCGTCTCCCTCACCCAGACGTAGAGTTTAGAATGGTTTGCACATGTGTGTGTCTTGTTCTGACTTGTCAAGCTTGAGAAGGTTGGCTTTCTTGGGGATTGTAGCCGACTCGCGGCATGGTTTCGTTGCCCCGGTGCCAGAGTTGAGGCTGTTGAGGGTTTCCTTCTTGGGCGAAGAGCTGGTCTTTGGCTTCCGATGGTTGCCGGTTTTGCGCAGAGGTCAGATCAGTAATTTCCGTTCAGGGGCCCTCCGGCTCATTCCGGCTCCTGTTCCACACTCCCCTGTGACGGGGCTGCTCACCAGACAGTTCTCCGACTGAAACAGCCCCTCAAGCTCAAAGCTCCTGCTCCGCTCCTCGGAGCCCTCCCAGCACTCCTCCCGCTGCCCCACCGGCACACCCCCTGCACCGGAAAACCCGGCTGGAGGCATCATGACAGCTGCCTCCTGCGTTGTGGTACTGATCAACTTGGTTCTGCAATATGTGGCCCAGCTTGTGAATAAAGGGTTTCGTCATAGATTGAAAGGAGTGTGACACGGTCTGGCAGAAGTTGGCATGTTCTGCTCCACTTCAGGGAGCCGGTGGTAGCCTTTGAGCGCTAAACGGGAGCTGTTTGTTGTGGCCCCGGGAGCCGAGGTCTTGATCGCCATGGCCTACTTTGAGCGGCCTTTGTCCCTGACAAACCTCAACAAGTCCATGATGACTAAGATCTTTCTGGCACAGACGTTGAACACAGGTAGCTTCAGCTGCACTTGAGCCCCGGGCCCTGGGGACCTTAACCGGTCGTCGCGAGCAAGTCGACAAGATGCGGTGCTTCATTCAAGGTTTCGTCTTGTTCATCGTGAACACATACGGGCCCGACGGCATGCGACTTGCCTGCCAGATGTGTGTGCTTGAGCAAATGGCGGGCTGGATGGCAGAAGGTGTTGACCTTTGAAACGGCCATGTTCTGCAGCCGGTGCGGTTCACACCAGGATGGAAGGGGATCGTGCCAAGTCTCGTCTACCCACCCAGTCTCCCATGGCGGTTGCCATTCAGCAGGCCTGCCGTAGCTTGGTGAGTTCCTCCGCCCCGGCTTGCCATGGCTGCTGGCATGCGCCGTCGCTGTCACAATCTACTGCAAGATTACGGCCGGCCTGTGCCTCAGCAGGGGCTGTACAGGCGCATTCCGTCTGGAATTGAACCAGCCCGTTTGAGGAAGAAACAGTGGCAAGAAGCCATTGCACTGCTTACCGAAGCGTGGCACGCGGATGCAGATTCTGTGACGGTCAACTGCGCCATCAGTGCTTGTGCTGCTGCATACCGCTGGAAGGAGGTCAGGTTCGCTTACAATGAGTCGCAACGGGGGTGGTGCCGTTTCAGCTTGAGAAGCTGCAGGTTCTGGCCTAGGGCCTTAGGGCCTGGTCTCGAGGGTCTGGGGCACACATGACTTTGATACGCTGGAAGTGCTGTGCTTCGCTTGCCCAGTGCAGACTCTGATCACCAATGGCAGCAAGGCATCAGGTCTTCCCTGACACAGCCCATAAAAAGAGGCCATGCCTTGAGGCCATAGTGACGTAATTCTCGCAGGCAACCGCTCTGTTGTCGGAGATGGCACAACGGACAGCCGCGCCGGATGTGATCAGCTACACGGCAGCGACTCGGACCTGCATCATGGGTTTTGAGACGACTCCCGAAGCTTGAGCCGTGATTGGCCTCTGCAGGTGATAAATGCCTGTGAGAGGGCGAGGCTCTGGCAACAAGCCCTTGGTGCGCTGTCTTCGGCAAAGGCTCAGCTGGATCCTGATGCGACTTGTCGTGCGAGGACGCTCGACGTTTTTCTTCGGACTGTCATGTCTCCTTCATGAACACCGCTGCGGCTAAGGCATGCCTCCACAATGCCACCATTGCAGCAATGCAGAGATCGGCCCAGTGGCAAAGAGCTTTCCAGCTGCTTGAGGAGCTCTGTGACGGCGAAGCTGGCGTGCAGCCGGATGTTCCTTGACTGATGGTGAGGTGTGCTGCCGAAGCCAGACACGCGCGTGTAAACCCTCACGGCTCCAGAAGCATGGTACCCAATGGTCACTCCAATGGTCTACCAGGCAATCTCGTTCAACAGTGCCATCAGCGCATGCTCAAGCGCTGCTCGCTGGGAACGCAGCTTGGCCTTGCTGATGGCCATGCAGCGGTGGCGCCTCGGCCAAATGATGCCAAACGCTCAGTGAACGTGCGAGACACGTCTGACTGTAGCCAGGTCACTGCGCCCGGACGCTGTGGGCACCAGCGCAGCTCTCCGAGGCCTTGGACAAGCACGCCGCTGGGCCAGTGCCCCGGGCTGCAGAGCAGTTCCAAGCTCCTAAAGGTTCCGCACCCAAAACTTGCCAGCGTGGATTCTGTGCAGCTTGGGGACACCTCAAAGCTGGGGTCAGGTAAGTGGTGCAGTCAACATTTGTAATTTTCATCTTGTTCAAGCCAAGCGATCTGCTGATTCGGCAAGACGCGCTGGCTCTTCTCGAGAGCATGCTGCCGGTGCTGCGTGCCGCTACTTGGCAGCGGAGACCTGGTATTTCCGAAAAAAAGGGATGTCGCAGTCTGTTCCGCTTTGGTCGAATCCCGAATGGGCCAATGGGCCTGACCTGCTCGTCACTTTGTGACTGCCTGGCTCAGGATACAGTCCTCTTCAGCAGCGCCATGAATGCAATGTCGGGAAGCCTGCAGCCTCTCGATCGTTGTTGAGACCTTTAGCATATGGGTTTGTTTAAAGCAGGGCCATGTCTCGTCAAGTCCTCAAACAAGCCACATGATTAGAAATCCAGGGTCCAAATCCCGACAAGTTGCAGAGCAGATGTCCAAGTCTGAAGCGCCACTTGCTGTTTCCGAGGTGGCAGCGTGCGCTGTTGCTTTTCGAAGATATGAACACATTGCTTCTTGGATTTGTACGAGTATAAGGCAAGTAAGGATGTCGCAGGCTTCAGTTGCCATTTGATCACTTTGTCTGCTGCTTCTTGGTGAAGGCTTGGTTTTGAGGCATGCCTGGTGTAGCGAGCTCTAAATGTCTGCTTGGGCGATCGGTTTGACCCTCAACAATGAGATGGCGTGTCCTTTCAGGAAGTCTACGAGCTGAGGCAAGTTCCTCCCAACGCAATCACCTGCTCGACTGCTCTGAGCGCCTGCGACCGTGGCAGTCTCTGGTGCGAGGCTTTGCAACTATTCGATCAGATCTTGCAAAGAGGACGCCTGTGGGATATCTATGTGGAAAGTAGACTGCCGCGCGACTGCCGAGAATCTTCGCAATTGCAATCAGAAGCCTAAGTGCACAGCGGTTTTCCGAGATCGGGACATGTCAAGACAATGACTCATACACCGCTATCATTCTTGCGTCTGCGGCTCACCCCTCCAAAACTTGTAATTTTCGTCTAGCTGGACCATGCCGAAAGTGCAAATGCCGAAAGGAAGTGCATCTTTTCAGAATCAGAACACGTCGTATACCTTTGCTTGGGGCCGGGAGTCATCTCATCGCATCTAGAATCTAGAAAATCTCTCCGAAGCCGAAGCTGCGTAGTTGTTTTAGACAGGCGACCTTAGAGGAAAGACAGACACCTTGCACTACGTTTTAATGCGTTTCATCTGTTTCACGTTTTCCTTTCGTTCACTCATTCTCTCTCTCTCTCTCTCTCTCTCTCCCCCTGTCTCGCCCTGTGCTTGCTCGCCGCTGTGTCGTGCGATCCCAACAAGACTTGGCGGCAGGAGCCAGGCATGCGGACAGCATCACCTACTGTAGCTCTATCAGTGCTTGCGGCAAAGCTTCCCGGTGGTCCCATGCACTGGCGCTGTTTGCGCAGAGTGTGGCACAAACGGCGACTTCCTCAGATCAAGCCTGTGCTATTCTTGCAACAGCCCTTTGCGCACACTTCTTTCTGAAAGGTTGCACCGAACAGCTTCACATGCAATGCGGCCATCAGTGCCTGTGATCGGGGAAGTTGCTGGCCAGCTGCTGTGCAGTTGTTGGAGGAAGCCCGTCTCAGCATACTGTCCCTGCATACATGCGTCCTGCATATAGTGCGCCTGTCCATGTCTGTGTCTATGTGCTGATGAACAGGTGGACTGGCTGCAGAAGCAACAGACAATTGTAATCAATGGGGTGCAACCATCAGTGAATTCAGCAATCAAGCATAGTTGAGAAGGACGGGAGGACATTAACGACCGACTGACTGGCTGATTGCCTGCCTGACTACCTGGCTGGCCGGCTGACGGACTGACTGACTGACCGACTGACTGACTGAATGTATGAGTGAAAGAATGGATGACTCAATGACTGACTGAACGGATGAATGAATGAATGAATGAACGAATGAATGAATGACTGCATGAAGGAATGCATGAATCAACGAATATAGTTAACACCGATGCATGTTTGCAATGGAAGCTGTGGTGATATGTTGTGATGTGCGCATGGACGTGTGTATGCAGCAACATACATACACAAATATTTGCATACATACATATAAGCATGCAAACACACATGTTTACATGCGTGCATGCTTACTTACATACATAGATACACACAGACACACACACACACACACACGCACGCACGCACGCACACGCGCACGCACACGCGCGCGCACACACACACACACACATACAAAAATGCATACGGACATACACATACCTTTACATTGATTACATTCGCACATACAGTCAAACATGCATCCACGCATACATACATGCACACATACTATACTGTGTTTGGATCTGCCTGTATACGTCTGCGCACAGACAGATATGTGTTTATGCCTCCATTTTCGCACTCGGGCCTCTGAAAGTTTGGAGGACATGAAGAAGAGCGGCATGCAGCCAGACTTGATCAGCTTCAATGCGACAATGGCAGCTTGCCAGACCGGTCAGCAGTGGCACAGGACCATGGCACTCTTCCGTTTCTGGGCTTGAGTCAGTGGTTGACTGCAAGTCACCGCAAGCTTTTTGGAAATACGTGAATCAGAACGTACATGCCCACCCGAGACCAAGGGTGTCGAGACCTCTGGTATCTATGGTTGCACTTCTACATGCGTCCATACACGTACATTCGCACAGGCATGCATGCATGAATACATCCATCCATACACCTTTCATCCATCCGTCCATGCATGCATGCATCCATCCATCCATGCATGCAAGTAATGAGTACAGGCAGTCGATCTGCTCCTCATGAAGGCAATGCAAGTCGTAGCGGCTGCCTTCAAACATGTCTTGACACCTGTGGGCTGAGGTGAACTCGACGGCCACTCACTTCAGCCAGATGCCGCTACTTTCAATGCTGTGTTGGAAGCTGCTGGCGATGCGGAGGGCGAGGCGCTGGGCTTCAAAAACCGGTTGCCTGTTGTCAAAGAGCCAATCAGTCCGATGCGGATGCCATTCTGCACCCAGTCCAAGGCCCCGCAGAAATCTGTAGCAAACAACGGAAAAGACAGACCAACAGTAACAATAATAACATACTGTATCAAATGCATGCGCAGGCATGCGCATTCGGATTGTGTGTGCATGTGCACTTACTAGGTTGTGCTTGTGTATTGCGAACGCAGTTTACGGCGGCGGTGAACAAATTACTCCCCGAACACTTGTTCCGGGTTCTGCACACTCCAATGGACTTCCGGTTTATTTGGGTTGGGTTCGGTTCCGCGGCCCTGTTCGCGGTCCGTTCCGGACCGAGGTCACAAGATGGAGGTTCCAAAACAGGTACGCGTGGTTTCGGAAGCCGGTTGTGATAGGCTTTCTGAGCGCGGTCCCGCGACTTTCCCGTGTACCAAGCTCCCAGCCCTTGCAGGTAGCGGTTCCCAGGGAGGAGCGTTTCAGTTAGGGGTGCGGTTTGCACTGTCCCCCGTGCTCATGTTATGTTTCTTTCTGTCGCCTGTTGTACTGGCTTTTTTCCTTCATTGCTGTTTCCCGTTGGATTGTAATCACATACCCATTGTAACACCCATCCCCTTCAAAGTGTCCGCAGGCAGCAGCGTGGGGGGAGGGGGGAGGGTGGGGAGGACCGGTTGCTGCCGAGCCCTTGATTTGTGTGTCAACGTATTTTGGTACGCAGCTCAGTCAAACTCAGGCACTCTTCTTGTCTGCGATGCAAGTCGCCTATCCCCGGCCGCTTGTCTCAAGGAGATCAACGGGGCCGGAACGACGTCCCCAGGGTGTTTCAACACCTTGCGAGGCTTTTGGCCAAGGGCCGGGAATACTTGGACTTGCATGACCTCTCAGCCGGTGCTGCGAAGTTTGCGGTGCCCTGGCATTATCGGCAGGGAACTTGTTGATTCGATGTAGCAGCCAAGCATCGTTACAGGATGCGGTTTCACGAGGGAGAATCTGAGAGGTGGGAGCTGTCCAGGTGCGATGGTGGCTCGGCCATGTGGGGTACAATTCTGGCCGGCACCCTCCAGGCGGTGAAGTCGGAGTTTTCAAGAGCTGTTGGAGAGATTCTGCTTGTAAAGGTCTGGAGATCATCACCGGGCGAGGTTCCACTCGAAAGCCGTGGTCCACCAGCGAATTGAAAGGCCAGATGCGCATCTGCCACCATCTACCGTGATTGTTGATTTCAACAACTCGTGTGCAGGCTCCATGGAGGCATTCCTGGACCACTTGAATGTTCCCTGGACACGCTTGCCAAACCCAGGGCGGATTCGATTGAGCCACAGCTGACATATGAGCTGGTGGTGGTACAACCGATTCATACCGACAGACCCTGCACGAAAGCACGTTTATTTTATTTTTTTGTACTATACTACTTTATAATGAAATGCCCAAGCTACCAAGGCTGCCTCGCCCTCGTCCAGACGAGAAGTGCCGGCTAGAGCCTGCATCGAGCGAAGAGCACGGGTCAAATGCCACATTTCAAGAACGTCCCCGCCCACCTCCGCGAGATTCAAAGGGTCCGAAGACGTAGGATTTGCTCTACTTTGAGGCTCTCGCGAGTCGGGAAGACGGAAGCTGCCTCGCAAGAAGCTGCGGCCAGTGTTGCTCTGGACTCTGGACCGGTTTCTCCTGTATCTTCCTTTGGGTCTCAATGTGGTGCAATGTGGTGTGCAAGCGCGACATCGCGGACGCTGGGTGCCCGGACTCCCGAGCCAGCCAAGCAAAAGACGTACGTGAAGGCCATGGTTTCGTGGGAGGCATACCATGTCCAGACAAGGCAAGCACCCTGCCCTCCAATTCAGAACCACCGCCGCAAGACTGGTACAAGTCGTCATCCCCGCACTTGGCCAAGGACTTGATCGCTGCTCATAACGTACTGTGCTGCAAGGCAGCGCTGACCACCGAAAATGGCAAGACCGGGGTATGCTCCAGTGGACCAGACGTGCCGAAGAAAGATGCTTGCAAAAAGGGGGATGCCGTCTGCACCTTGCAGCAATGCCTTATCCTAGCATGGTAAGACGGTGGAAGTAGGTCTGAGCAGTCTGCTCCCGGCCTGTAACAACAGAGTCGCATCGAGCAAGCGGAAATCAGTGCAAGGCGAGACGTGCTGAAGGCCATCCCGCTGATCGGCACCTGGTTGTTCGCGGGACCGTTTGCGGACTTGACACGCGCTTGGCAGAACGGCCTGATTCATGAGTTGCTTCCAGAAGCTGGTTCAAGTGACGAGTACACTCGCATTCGCCCTCTCCTGAGGTACGTGGTTGTGGGAGCGACCATCATGGTCAACATGCTCCTGAACATGGCATCTTTGCTGAAACGGGTCCTAACTTTCAAGAGCGCTTGTTCAGCGTGTGCTTTCGTGAAGGTAGTGCCACCTGCAGTTACAATAGCGACGCTTGGCTGCTGCTGTTCTTCGAGTGACATGCACCCTCATGCTCAAAGTGCCTGGAGTGTTGCAGTGTCTCTTGCAAGAGATGCCTTTGACCTTCCAGCTTCCTCAGGAACATGTTTGTGACCTGGCTTCTGCGACGATGTTGCAGAGGCTCGAGGGGCTGATGCAGGATCCACGGCTCTAAGCAGCCCGAGTCACTGAGCGTGGCTGTTTGGATCCCGTCCTTAACGCTGAAACCGACGTGTTGCGACGAGCCAGGCAGAGTGAAGCACCATTCAGAGCTCATCGCGCAGCCTGGCCTTCCTAGTCAAAACAGCCTCTCAGCCACCAGCCAAGACCAAAGCCACGACAAGTCCAGAGGTATTACACCAATCCGGACTTTGACATCAAGCTAAAGCCGCTCGACTAAAGCTGAATGGAGCGACTGGAGTCAGCCGTCTATGGATGTTTGAGCACCTTGAAGGTACGCCCAGATGCTCACGACCGTGTTTGTTGCACTGACATACTCGGCCTTTGGGCGGCACTTGATCAAGGAAGCTGGCAACTACTTTGCTGGGGGATGTGATTGACGGAGCGTGCAATGCAACGGTTGTTCTGGCTTGCGATTCCCGTCTGTGAGGCCGGGATGCCTCTTCTTTATCTCTTCGCCTTTGGGTACATGTTTTTCATGCAGCCCGGCAGAGCAGTCTAATGTACTCGAAGCCTCAGCCCCAAGCGAAGGTGCTTAGTAATAAATTCTTAACATGAATCAACAGGCCCTCGGACACACTTGCGCAAGCTTGCCTCTTGACACATGCTTCTCTTCTTCGGAGAAGACTCTGGGGAAGACGTCTATCCTGTAGCCACAAAGGCAGCAAGCAACAACTGTACAGTAGTGCCAACAGCCAGAATGTCCAAGGTACTGGGCGGACAAGGTCGCGCTTCTCTGGTGCTCCAAGCGGCCCCCCTTCTACGATGCCCTGCTGCCGAAGGAGTCTTCCGAAAAATTGCACTCCGGCCTGTGTGATGGGCCCTGACAGTCAAGCTGTCTTGTTTGTGCACATGTCTCGGGAAGCGTGGCGATTTGCGTGCTTGCTGCGCTATGCTATGCTGCAGTTGCGTGAGCCAAGGTTGTATGCAATCGCTCTACACTGTGTTTTCGCCATCCTCATGCAGCATGGCTTTGAGTAGTGTTTGTCGCGCTTGCCATGGTCACTTCCGGAGTAACTTGCGTATGGCATGGGCAATTGGGCCTGCAGGTATGGGCAACCCTGCGTCTTCCCATCCAATCCGGTTGGTGGTGACATAGGCATCCATGCGATATCTCGAAGCATCTCTGGAGTTCCCGCCCTGTCTCCCGAGCGCAGCACAGGGGTCTTACATTGGCAGGAAAGCTCATTGCGGAGGGCGAGTCAGCGGCCGGCGAGCACCTGCAGGGCTGGTGGCCGAGATTGACCAAGGACCTGGGTCACCTAAGTGATTTGTGAAGTGCCGGGACCCAGTCGGGCCTCATAGGGAGTAGCACGTGGATTGCGGGTAATTGGTCTGCGCTGCTCCCAGAAGTTAACGAGCAACGGCCATCGAAACTCATTGAGGAGAGTACCTGGATGTTCGTGGCATGGCTTAGCTTCATGCTGGCACTATGGGTGATGTGGTGGCTGGTATGGGCCTTTCAGGAGACGTGCCTTGGCTGCTCATCCGTTCGAAGATATTCGAAGGCTTTCGATTCAATGCGCAATCTGCGACCAGCTGACATCTTGCCAATAGTTTGCTCGCTTCAAACGCCCCGAGCCTGGGTCTGATTGCGCGCTTCCCAGCTTGCTGCGTGTTGCGACCTGAAATCGTGCCCGGCCCAGGATCGGCACTTTCGGCACGCTTCTTTGGCAGCTTTGCTGCGCCTCTAAAAAAGTGGAGGACTGCTTGGGCTGTAGTTTAGGGGCCGGGCAGAGATGGGCACAGTGTCCAAGACCTCGAAGCACACGTGTGCCAAGCTTTTGTCGTGGCGAATGCCTTTATGCAGTTCGGATTGTTCTCCATAGCCTCAATTTATGGCTTAGGGGATGCCCAGGACGCGGACACTATCGCAGCCATCCAGCGCGGCGAATCTGTCGACAGCATTCGTCAAAAGACGGGCAAGGCCAGGCAATCTAGCGGCGATGTGCTCAAGACTTTACCCACGATGCTCCAATCTGACAATCCGATCGTGAATCTACCCCGTCTAGATTCATTGAAAGTTTCATCTGCTGTCGGATCCACATGTAGTTCTGCTGGTGACTTTGCTTGGGGACAGCCATCGAAGTCTGATACTGGAAGTGAATCCATGAGGAGAACCGAACTGAAGACCATCGGCCCCGGGAGTGTGCGGGATGCTTGTTTGTGTCTCTCCTTCCGCACAGACGGTGGACATCGCCGCGACGATGACATGGCCAGAAGCTGCAGAGATCATCGACCGCTGCTCTCCCCCATCCACGTACCACATGGAGGATCATCCCGACATGCTGCTTGGGATGCAAATTGGAAGCGGACCCAGACCTCATTCTGCTGGGGAGCTTCGGTTCAAGTTGTTCGCCGGAGGCAGATGGGAGATTAGATTTTCTAGAAAGTCTCAGCCGAATCGGAAGCGCCGGGCTTCTCTGACGGCTCAGCACGGGTCTGAACAGGCCCTTCCTAGTGGCAGATGGTCCCCACATGCCCCACTCATGCATGCCCGGCAAGGCTGGAAATCGCACACCTCATGAAAGCCGAGTACACGCGAGGAAGTGAAGTAAATCCGGAAGGCTCGGATCCAACATTCACTCAGAATGGTTTCTGCACGTTGAGCTAAGCTTCCAAACCATGGCTGCAGGAGGGGAGCTGCCTGTTCCACAACATCCTGGCGACAGCTTCAGCGCGGCCATGACGTGGCTTGGAACAGCCCTTTTGTTTCGAAGTGCACAGCGTCATAGAGGCTATGCCCAAGCTAGTACTTACCTTAGCGTGCGGCAGCTAGGCATTGAGTCTGATGAGGAAGTGAATGCAGACCGAACCTCGGCGGCAGCTAGGAGGTGCCTTCTCCGATGAATCTTCACTTGTGACTCAGTGAATGCCACCATTTACCCTGGCATTTTTCCTTTCAGAAAGTGTGGACTGCAACTTATCTATCCCGCCTGCCAGGCTCTGCAACGGAGACGAGGGTGTACACTTGCTGCCAAGGCGGCGAGGCTTTATGCATCATTATGGACTGAGGCTATGCCAGTAGGCAAAGCTCTCCTTTTTTTCTGCGTAGGCATTGTAGCGGGCATTTATAGAGACCGGTCCGAGGTATTTTAAGGATTTTCTCAGCCCGAAGCCCTGGATCTCAGATGATTTCGGCCACAGCTGCCGCACGTCTGCGAGCGGTCTTCATGCCCACTTGTGATTTCGGTGCTTTCTGCAGAAGGGACAACGAGTCGATGCCAGGATCAGTCCGAGTCCTGGGCAAAGACAGGCAGATGCAGTCGGAATCCCTGGTCCATATAGATCTAACTATGTGGGATGCGATTCACCACATCTCCTCACTACAACAGTATCTGCCAGCTGCTGGTTTATCGAATTACATGCGGCTCCATCAGCAGGAACAGAGCCTGTCGTTGACTGCAAGCTTTGCTGAGCAATCGCGCAAAAGCGGGGCAAAGGCCTAATACAGGCTTCCCGTGGAGTGCTGCGCATTGTCAACTTGCACTTGCAGAGCCCATGCCTTTTCGAGTTTCGAGTTTCAAGCGGTGTGCTGCAAAACGTGCTCATGTGTCTCATCGACTTTGCCCGAGCTGGCGTGGAATATATGTAGCCAGCGAGCCAAAGAGCGAGAGAGCTAGGCGAGGTTGGTCCTTCTAAGTGCCCCTGTCCTCACCGAAAGTCTGCAGGCTGAGCTCGTGGCCGAGGTGGTGCGATGATCTATGAATTTGCAGGGGAACAGTGAGAGTGTCTGAGTCTCGGATGCCATGATCCAGTAATCATGGCCGACAGATTCCGCCTCCTTGAGCTTGTGAAGAAAGCAGACGCGCGCCGGATTCGTGAGATTCAGGGCGTTAGGCTGTCAGGCGCAGGATTTGGGAACTCGACGTCTTTGTCCGTGACCCTGTAGAGATAGTTGTAGTCAGAACGTGAACAAGCTGGCTGACCTTCTTCGCTGCGTGTGCACATGTGTTTTGCTGATGGCTTCTCTGAGTCGAGCGCTTCAGGTTCTGATAGGTTCCGCGCGTGATTTTGTCCTCATCCGGCATGCTTTTGAAGAAGGGAGCTCGCCGACACTTTCATGTGTTTTGGAAGACACCCACCACATCCGCATCATCACATAGAAACCTATAGCCTATAGCGACATACTGGTCAGCCTTGAATGCAGAGGCTTGATGCTCTCGTCTGTCCTCCTGTTGCAAGCCAGACATATCGGAACATACCCTGCAATGCGGGCTCGTCCAAGCTATGTAGGAGGGATAAAAATAGCGACATGCGCAAAGACCCCCATCGAAAACAGCTCAACATGGAAACGCTTTGCAAAGCCAACAATCCTAAGCCCATGGTTTCGGTCTTTCAGGCCCTGCAGGCGACGAGTGTCTGAAGAGACCCGATTTCACCTGTCGTAGGCTCCTATTTGATTTGCAGTGCCCTCGGATCTCCGTAATGATTATCTCCGTCGCCTGATACATTCAAGCCACAGGAATTCAGGTAGCATAGGCTTTGAGCGTGCATGGCAGCCGGTCACAAGGACAGGGCGACAAGGCCCTTTCTTGTGGCAATGAGGTCGTTCAATAGCCGGGATGTGTGCCTAGCATCTTTAAGCCTCACAACGAGCATGCGGTGAGCACAGCGCTTCGGAGGCCTGGCTGGTTTCCATGTCATGGAGGATGGGCCACGAGGTAGCGCCAGGGGATTCTTTGTCGCATTTTTGCTTCTTGGGCCAAGCCATTCCCATGATTCGGTCCCTGCATGCGCCAAAGACGCGGCCAAGCCACTATGCAGAGGTGACGCCGCTTGGGGCAGCCATGCGGCGGAGGCCAGAGGGAGAATTTTGTTTTGTCTTCTCACTTTGCTGTCGACTGTATTATGACTTATGAGTAACCATTTTTTCCTTCACTGCCAGACTTCATCTTTTGAGCTTCCTCCTCCTGTCTCGACCTGCACGCGGCCAGGTCTCCCCGTCCGGGAGGGTTTAATGCCCAGGCCTGGCTCGACGGCATGGCAGGGGTTTTGGTGACGTAGTACGAGCACAGCAACAGCCTGTACAGCAACAGCAACACAGGACACATCAAAACAGACACAGACACAATCACACCAGCCGCAACACACACGCGCACACACACAAACACACGCAGAGGCACAACACACACACACACAAAACACGCACACGCACACACAACATACACACAAAAATCACGCAATACACGGAACACATGCACAACACACTCGATACACACAGTACACACAATACACATGCACAGAAACAGAGACACGCACTAACAAGCATTCGTACATAAACACGTGACAACGCACATGCAAACATACACCCATGCACAGACACATAAACATACACACGCATACACACAAACACACCCGCACTCACACCCGTACAGTTACACACAGAGGTTTACATTCATTCACTTATACATTTACAAATACATACACATGTACATATACATATACGTATATATCACACACACACATATATATATATATATGTATATACACACATACATACACACGGAAAGTTAGGATTGGTTTGATTTATGCGAAGCCCTGAGCTGACGCCCAAGACCCAGGGTCTACACGTCAGCAACTTTCGACACGTCGCCTCATGCGCAGCAACGTCCAAGAAGAGCGTAAAGTGTACAGCCTTGAGCCTAAACCTGTTTTATGGTGTTCAGCTATAATGTTCATCTTTGTGCTTCCGATCATGCGGGGAATCGTGGACCCACACACACAAGCACAACAGGAACATGATGGGACACATGATGTATGCACGTCGTGGTCACGAAACCCATGAGTGCTTCGTAGCCGACTGTCAGTATGTTCGTGTTTTATAGTCGGCCTACTTGTGTTTCAATTTGTTGGACTGGCTTCGAAGGCACGTAGATATTGCGTGCCCTTAATGTGCATTGTCGCACTGACATGATGAGAATGAAGCAAGACAAAGATGCGTTGGAAGTGCATACCTTTTATCGAGAGCCACAGCCCGCGCTTAGGTGCCCGAAGCCTTGAAGCCCCTGCTCTGTCTGTGCAAACTTGGAGCCAAGCCTCCCCCTCCCCGTCGCCCTAGCCCCAACACACGCTGATAACCCTGTTCTGTTTCTTCGATCTCAACGTACATGCTTACTGAACTTTGTGAGTACTTTATGTCATATCTGCTATTATCATTGAGCTTGGAGGTTAATAGCCAGGCTGTAGCTTAGTGACGTCACCTTTAGCTTCTTTGTATTTTGCCGATCATGAATCTTTTTCGATAACCAAGGCCTTCTCGAAACCTGAAAACTACTTGCAGCAGTGTTGGAAGACAGCTGACGTCGGTTATTACGTGTTTGCATGTTGACGGTGTCGAGGATACTGTATGATTACGGGCTTCGCCCACACCTCCGACCTCGCATGTTAATGATGTTGTATGATTAAGGGCTCCGTTAATCGCCGTCCTCGATTCCTATACTCCTTGGGTCGCCTTGCGGTGCTGCCTGCCTGCATTTTTCGCACAGAGATCAAACACTGCCTAGAAACTTTTGCTTCCTCCTTACGTAAGCCCCAAACCACTAACCCTCGCGCGCAGAGCCATGGATGTCGAGTTGACGCAGACTCTAAATGGTTCATGTTGGCTGACATAACGCCTGTGCTGAATACAATTATGTTCAACTGTGTCGAGAAGCAGGATGCCTGCTCGGATCGGTGAGAGATCTCTCTGCTGTGTCTCCCGTAGCACGGAGGACTTTCACCAGATCATGCCAGATCCAAGCAAATGCCTTCACCCAGCAGCATCCCATATTCAGAAACCAACATTGAGCGGCTCCTAGTAACATGCACCATGACAGGAGCTCAATTACTCAAGCGTGCCTGTGTTTGCCTATCAATCCTGCGAGGCCAGAGATTCGACGGCAAGCTTGGAGACGCCGGTAGGCTCGGCCCTAGCTCCACGCTGCCTTCCGTACATTCCAGTTCACGAGACTAGTAGTGTGTGTATTCGGACTACAGATGGCAAGAATACTAGCCACGGCACCTGGTAGTTAACACGTGGAATGCCGCAAAATTTATAGTTGTTGCCATCATGACAGCTACCTACAGCTACTATCATTTTTCTACTCCTATGGATCATAGTCTTGCAATCTTCGACCTTTTTCGGCAGGTCAGAGCCTGGATGACATGATCGAGGAGATCCGACGGCTTCGAGCGAATGTTCTGCCACGAGGCAAACTCATTCCACGGTTTCCGGCGTGTATCTACACATCCAGGTATGCGTGTAAGTATGCAGGAAGTTCCAGGAGGGAAAGTATGTATGTATGTATGCATGTATGTATGTGCCAGGGTATGCATGTTTCTTTTGCATGTAGGTGTAGGCATGCCTCTGTAGGTATGCATGTCTGTCTGCATGTCTGTCTGTCCGTCTGTCTGTCTGTCTGTCTGTCTGTCTGTCTGTCTGTATGTATGTATGTATGTATGTGTGTGTATGTACGTGTGCATGTCTGTGTGCATGTATGCAGCTCTACACATTCAATGACCAAAAGAGGGGTAGTATGAACACCAAGGAAGTGCAGAGCTACACAAACACACACGTACCATATATATATATATACATATGTGTGTGTGTATATACAAATAAATAAACAAATAAGAAAAATATGTATGCATGCACACACACACACACATGTAAATCAGTCTGTTTGTCTGTTCGTCTGTTCGTCTGTCGGTCGGTCGGTCTGTCTGTCTCTCCGTCTGTCGGTCTGTACTATGTATGTAGGTATGTATGTATGTATGTATGTATGTATGTATGTATGTATTATGTATGTATGTATGTATGTA